AATATATTTAGAATAAAAAAATATTATAGTTGAATTCATATAAAAGAATGTAATCTAATATACCCAAATAATAACAGTAAAATCGACTATAAAATAATAAAATTGACTAGATATAATATTTCTAAAATAATATGTCTAATTAAAGTAAAATAATATTATTAATATAAATCATGTATGCAAATTATAAATTAATTGAAAATTAAAAGTAAATAGTAATAAATTATTATAGTATATTTACTTAATAAATATTTAAACCTGTGCATGAGCACGGAAAAATCACCTAGTATATCATAAATGATCAGTTGACTATCCTTTTCTGTCGGAATAAATCGCTTTCCAGACTTTTTTGTCTGTGCACTTTATAATTTTGGTTTGATTGCTTTGCTTAGCTGTTGTAATGCAATGAGAGAAGGACAAGTGTGTGAATGTCTGGATTGCAAACGTGTCAAACACACAGAGGAATGACGCCTATAAATTTTGGCAAGTTGGATCAGAACTCTTTTATCAGGGATTTTGTACGACAGGGTTCTTATCAAAACATGAGAAAATATCTCTTAATTTTTACCTAAAAGAATTAAAAATCGATTTTAGATTTTTGAATAATCGGTTTTAGATATTTTATTTAAAAATTGGTTCCTAACTTAATTAAAAGTTAAGAGATAAATGTTTATATTCGGATAAAAATCTCTATAATATTATTTGAGAAGTCAGTTTTCTATGTGTCGCTCTCACGTTCATTCTCACGATGGTTGATTACATTGATACCCTTAATGAGTTGAAAATAATATTATTAATTATTTTATTTTTAGTTTTTTCTTTTCAAAAATATCCAAAAAGATATGTAATAAAAAATCATTTTTTATAAAGTCATAAAAAACAAATTTAAAACGAAAATATATGTATATATAATATGATTTCATAAAAAAGGAAAGTTGACAAAATAGTAATAATACATTTAAAATATTTTTAAATAACATAAAATATGTATATATAATATAATTTCATAAAAAAGGAAAATTCACAAAATAGTAATAATACATTTAAAAATATTTTTAAATAACATAAAATATACTTTTAGAGTAATAAAATAGTTTATAATTAGTATTATTGAATTTTTATTTATTTTCATATATTTAGTTGACTATAATGTCTTTCAATTACAAAAAATTATCTAGAACTTATATTTTACTTATATAATATTATTTTCAAATACAATCACAATTTTGTGTAGTGCTTATTTTTAAGAGATTAAAAACTAAAATTAAATTTAACAATAAACATAGTTTGGTCAAAATAATTGTTCTAATGAGCTAGATATATGATTTTTATCATTATTAAAATTATTTATTTTATTAATATTAATTGTTTTAAATTTTATGTTTTATGTTTGTGAAACTAAATATAACCATAATCAAAATATCAAAGCAAATCTGAATTCTCAAATGTAAGATTATTTAAAATAAATTTCAGTTTACATTCAATAAATCTAAAGCATAAAGTTATTTAGAATTTATAAATGCATGTAACCTTTTATTGATCATATGATAACGCAAAACATGTTAACAAATAAAAATAAATACTAACCAACTCTTACAATTTTAGTTCTTTTGTAAAATTTATATATATCCATGAGACTTTAGAATATTTTCGTTATATTAATTTACGTATTTTGGAATCAGACACTTTAGTTAACTTTTAATTCATTCTAAGCAAAATATATCTTAAGTTATACATAATTTTCCTAAAATATATTTACATATCTAAGACTACACCCACCATATGCAAATAAGTAACTAATTAAAAATTAATATATTTTAAAAATATTACAGTTGAATTCAAAGATGCAATCCAATTTATCCAAATGATAACTAAACCAACCGTAAAACAACCAAATTGACTAGATATAACATATATAAAATTACAGTATAAGTAAAGTAATATAATACTATTAATATAAATGATGCATACAAATTATAAATTAATTTAAAATTAAAAGTAAATAATAATCAATTATTATTATATATTTAATTTAAAAATAATTATACCTGTGCATGAGCACGGGAAAATCACCTAGTTCTACTGTAAAAACCATTCATTGAAGTTAAAAATAGTCCGAATCTCATATATTATGTCTTACTATTACTATGAATGATTTCTTTTTTTTTTTTTTTGAGGAAGGGCCTAATTATGAATGATCTCTCTAACTAAATTTTTGCAAAACAATTATAATATTGTATTCAGAAGTTTTCAAACCATAGAAAATTAATGTCAAAATCTATTATTTTTTTTTGAGAAATCCAAATGCTATTGCTCTTGCATTTAATCACAACCAAGTAAATTCTATAAATCAAGTTGTCCAAGAGAAAAGAGAGATAATAACGCGACACGTGTTGAAGCAGAAGATAGATAGAAACACCGACACGTGACGATTTGATGCTGCGACATTGTATATTTCCACTGACGACGTGACTACCACTAATACTATGACATGTGTACGGTTTCTGCGACGAGTCTGGTCTTTGTTTATCAATATTTTGATTTTTTTTTGGGAAAACCACGTTCCACGTAAGTGCTCTAAAAGTCCTGACAGAAGTCTTCCATGATTCCACGTGTCGTTAATGCACCAAACAAAGGGTACTTTTGGTATTAAATTTCTCTCAAATAGACAACACAGCTTGTCAGGTTGCAATCTCGCTCTCTCTTTTGTCTATCCATCTAAATTCTCTCAGGCTCTTATTTTTTCTTGGATTTAAATATCTTTCCGTAATTTTGATCAAAAAAAAAATATCTTTCCGTAATTTATAGTGTTCGTACGAGATTTTCAGAGAAATTTTCGGTAATTTTTGTGAGAATTTAAGAGATAGAATCTTCGAAAATTGATATTAGCTCTTTTCTTGGTATTTGAATTACTTTTTTTTTATAAAAAAAAAATCTATTTGAATATGTCGGAAGTTGAGAAAAGTGAAAACGGAGAGATCTACTGGAATATTCCCCGACGAGATCCGTTGCGGAGTTTCATGTCCAAGAAACAGAAACTGTCGGTTCAAGAAGGAGAGGTAGAGATTGAGCTAGACTTAGGGCTTTCTCTCAACGGTAAGTTCGGTGTGGACCCACTTGCGAATAAGAGGCTGCTCGTGCGGTCACCTTCGGTTCCTGAGTTCTTGGTCAACGTTGATAGATCGGCGCTGGATAGGACTTGCTCGTTGCCGGTTGAGACGGAGGAGTTAAGGAAGAGGAAGGAGTTGCAAAGCTTGAGGAGGCTCGAGGCTAAGAGAAAGAGGTCAGAGAAGCAGAGAAACGTGAGGGAGAAACACAAAGCTGACAAGATCGTAGATGAAGGATCTTCTGGAAGTGGTTCCTCTGGCTTGTCCGAACTCGACACTCCTCCTCTTCAAGGTACCACTTTATTTTCATGCTGAGGTTTGTGTGCGGTTTGTTGTCTTGTTTAGTTCTTTCATTCTTGATCATTAGGGCAACCAAAATCTTGAATCATATAGGCTTTATGACATTATTACTATTATTTTATGTTTGTGTGTGTAGTCTTGAGATTTGGAGTTGTGTTATTGAGACATTTACTTTTTGTGTTTGAAGCAACAACAAACAAGCCCGTAGAAACAAGTCCATCAAGTGCTCAAACTGCCCCGGCTGCTAGAAACATCATAGAAGAAATGCCATGCGTGTCAACAACAGGAGATGGACCCAACGGGAGAAAGATCGATGGGTTTCTGTATCGGTACAGAAAAGGGCATGAGGTGAGGATTGTGTGTGTGTGCCACGGAAGCTTTCTAACGCCTGCAGAGTTCGTTAAGCATGCTGGTGGCCGTGACGTGACACATCCCTTAAAGCACATTGTTGTAAATCCATCTCCCTTGTTGTGACCATTATGCTCTCTTTGGGACAGTTTCTATGATTGTTTAATTTTCACCACATTGTTCTACTTGTATCCATTTGGAACATATGTTACAAATTCTTATATCTTGAGGTGTATAAATATATTTTAATCGAACTCATGATTTCAGATTTTATACGTGAAAGCGATGGTCTATATACATTCGTTCTTGTTTAGTTAGTATGCGGTAGCCAAGGTCGTCTAATTTCTTTGGGGACATGTTAACGTACCGACCTGAGTCAATGTAGAAAACCAAACCAAGATTCTAGGATTGAGCCAAAGGTCAATTTGATCAGAGAGAAGTGACCCTTCACTGGTTTGAGTAGAATGGAAAATAATCAAGATTTTCTTTCCTATTTCGTAGGTTATACATTTGTTTTTTTTTTTTTGTTTGTTGATTCATTTGCTTACATTTAAAGAATGATGTGTCTGGGGCATAATTAAGGAATGATTTGTTTACATTTTAAATCATCATGGACCAGCTTTTATTACCTTTCTAGTATGGGTTTGGTTTGTTCGGTTGTTCAAACGGATTGAACACAGGCACGAAGTTCTTACTTTAGTTGAGAACTAGGATAAGATCTGCGCCTTGCGCAGGGTGAATATATGTAATTAAAATATAAAATTTTAATATTCACAAATTTAAAATTTACATATGATTGTTTTTGTATGTATTTGAAATTTTAGAATTTTGGAATTTTTATATAATTATCTATACGTATGATCAAAAACAACTTTAATTAGAAATGTAAATCAAATCTTAGAATNTTACATATGATTGTTTTTGTATGTATTTGAAATTTTAGAATTTTGGAATTTTTATATAATTATCTATACGTATGATCAAAAACAACTTTAATTAGAAATGTAAATCAAATCTTAGAATTTAATGGATCTGATTTCATATATCTTTTTACTTTTCAGTGTTCGAGTGATGGAAAATAAATGGAGTGTCACTGGGCTTGATAGGTAGAGTATAGCAAGTTCCCTAATGTTTTTAAAGAAGCAATTGGTAAAATATTTGCAATTAAAATATATAAAGTTTCTAAACTAATTTAATATAATTTATTTATTTGTCTAATAATATTAGAAAATTATATTTTTTAAAAATTATATTTTTAAAAAATAATTTTCTAAAAAATTATGTTAAATTTAAAATTATTTTTAAAAGCAATATTTAAAGTTTTTTGAATACAAATAAACAATTTAAAATTAATTATTGTCATGATTTAACATAACCATAATGATTTAAAAAATTAATTATGGTTATGAGAAGTTTACGTTCACGTGTCAATCCTATTTATCTTCCAGTTATGAGAAGTTTACGTTCACGTGTCAATCCTATTTATCTTCCATTTTTCTCTTGCTATGTTTTTTTTATATTTTGGTTATTACTCGGTATAAATATTTATTTTGAATTTTATTCTCATTTCGTTTGTTTTTTTTGACCTGAAATTTAGAAAATATTTAAGTTTTAAAATAATTAAACAGATAAATACTTAGGTTTCTGCACTTTATGCACAATAAGTATTTTATATTTATTATTTATTTTATATTTTCTGCATATTATAAATAATAAAATAATAAATATATATATATTAAATAACTAAGAAATCAATTACTATTATGTAACAAATTGGCGTATGCATATAAATTTAACTATTACTCTTGTTTATTCACAATTAGGGTAAATAAATCAAAATAATCAATCTTATATATTGTATATGATATATAATTAAATTTAAAT